CTTGCTGAGAAATCGAGGCAAGGCCTCACAATGGGCGAGATATGAGTTGAGTTGACCATCTTTAATACGATTTTCAGCTCGACATCGGCAAAATGCCAGAGTTTTCCCGACGGACACTCATACCCGCGGATACACGGTCATACCCCATTACCATACCATCATATGGGGTTCTGCGGAATCGAGGCCGGGCCTCACAGGGGCCGGCCGGAATTGGCGAGATATAAGCTGAAATTACCATCTTTAGTACGATTTTCGGCTCGATTTCCGCAAAATAACGAAGTATTCACAACGGGCACACCTATTTCCGCAGACATATAGACACACCATGGACGAAACACTCATTTAAAGAATATGTCTGATTTTTTCTTCTTCTAAAGTAGCCTTGATTTTGTTTTTTTCTGGCTTTCCTGAAGAGCCAGATATCGAGGTGATAAGAAATTTAAAACTACACCATGGAATAAACCAACCGCCGTATGAACACATCTGCGGATGTTTCTAAATTCAAAATTTTACTATTTCATGTTTAAATGTTGAATTCTGCTTAAGCCGGTGCTAGGGGGCGTGGACGGTAACTTGCACTTTCCAGTACCGTCCATGAACAGGCTCAATCAAACCGAGCCTGCAACATTTTCAATTTTGCCGTGTTGGGCTTTCTTTAGGGATTCTGTATTTATCTATTTTGCACAGGTTTGACCGTATCATCTCTGGCAAGCCTGTTCAGCCGGAACAGGATTCCAACCCGAAGTAGCCGGAACGGCCGGACTGGATGAAAATTTTGTTGTACCTGTTCCGGCTGTTCCGGCTAACTTCACGAACATCTCTACCACTGTGTGTAATTTAAACAAATTATGTCCAAGGGTTTTCAGGTTATGCTCCGGACAAGGGGAGATAATACAAAAACGGGAAAAAAGTTATGATTCTTTGGCCCTGCACTCCGCCTCAATTCCATCTACCACTGTGTGTACTTTAATCAAACCATGTCCAAATCTTTTCAGGTTATGTTCCAGACAAATATTTTCTAAAAGGGCAGAAACTTGTAAAAACGTGGCAAAATAGAGTTATGGTTCTTTGTCACTTTTTTTCGGAAAGCAGATTATTGTTCACAGGTACGTGTATATGCATATAGTTAATGTAGTGTACTAAATAATCACCGTACCTCAGCATGGCAAATTACAGTTCGGATACTAGAAATATTTAGTCTTGAAATACTTACCTATAATTATACTTAAATTTTCTTTTTCTTTCGCCTTTAGAGCGCATGTCTAGGTCCCATATATAGGGTTTGGCATTGAAAGAAATACAAATAAAAACAGAAATATTGTGTTTTACTCTAAAATGTTTTTTTCAGCTTATTTCATAAAAATATGTATTAGGCATGTATACATTTAAATAGCAATGGACAGTGTGACGTAACAGAGACGGTCGATTTCACTGCATATGTTGTTTGTGAAAATGCAGTCTTTGGCCAAATATATATAACGTTTGCTTGTGGGGCTAGAAGGAAAGAATGTGCCAATCTCAGATGACCTATTGACTGTTATTAGTGTATGCTTTTTACCTACATTTTGAAAGAATTATTAAATATATTATTAGATAGCATAATTGAGTTGAGACTATTTTTGCAGCTTCTTTTTGAATAGTTTTGATACTTTGTTGTTATGCTTGTTTACAAATGTCCCAGACGGTGTTGCTGTATTCCATTTAAGCTCCGATGAAAGTAGAGTAGAAAGTGTCTTAAGAACTGCTACTTAGTTTTAAGAACATGAAGAATCCAATGATCTTAGTAAAAACGCGTTTGATACCTTTAAGACTAAAATAGAGAGAAATAAGAATCCCTAAAGAAAGCCCAATACGGCACAATTGAAAATGTTGCAGGCTCGGTTTGATTGAGCCTGTTCATTGACGGTACTGAAAGTGCAAGTTACCGTCCACGCCCCCTAGCACCGGCTTTACAAATGTCCCAGACGGTGTTGCTGTATTCCAATCAAGCTCCGATGAAAGTAAAGTAGAAAGTTTCTTAAGAACTGCTACTTAGTATCTTTAGTTTAAACGCGTTTGATACCTTTAAGACGGCATTAAGTCAGCTTTATACCACCAAGCAAAGACAGAAATGCTTTAACAGCTAAATCGGTCAATCCATACTTCGTTTTAGCTGTATCAGAATTATCAAATTTGGTTTTATAGCGTATTTCTTTTATCACATCACAAGAGCCAGAGTTGAGGAAAGATAACAATTAAGGTTAATTTTACATCCTAGTTTAATTAATCTTTGCAGTTATGATGGGTGACCCCTGTCATCAGTGTTGTTTAAAGTAGAGTAAATAAATTAAATGTTACTTATTCACTGGTTTTACTCATTCGATTCGGAAATACTGTGCTGAGGAGCTAAATGTAAGCAACTTAATCTATTTTGTAATAACACAATTTATCTACTTAAATATTCCAACAATTTTTTTAATTATTAAAATGTACCCCCTTTCCCGGCCCTCTGGTCCCTGCACCACAAACCCTTATACCCATTAAGGACTTTTAACACAATGATACAAATACATGTATATATTATCAATTATTATCTCACAATGTTGTTATAATGCACTGATAATGTTCTAAATACAATCACTTTTTGACATTTAAGATAATTTTTTGACCTAACCCTATAATTGCAAAGCGTTATCAGTATGAATGCAGTTTATCACCATTTTGATGTGACCTAACTTTGTACTTTATATATTCAAAATATGATACACATGATCAACAAGGAAAGGCGGTGTCCAATGAACGTGGCCTATTTAGTAGAATGATTTCAACGGTAGAATGAAATATTTAATCATGAATCTTGAAATATATGTTTGTTCATATGGCAAGGCACAGTTAAAGACAGGAGGCATTATTGTGAACGTTATATATTTTTTCAGTAATTCCCCGACTTTGTATCAAAATTGTCTATTTTAGTAAGATAATTCGAGATCTTTCAAAGATATCGACTTGGAACTTGTAAGACCTCTTTAACATCACAAAAGACACATAATAAATAAAGGGAATCATGCGAAAAGAAAAACGTTATAAGATTATGCCCTTTTTTAAAAATTTAACATATTTTATTGACATTGGTTAGTGAAAACAATTGCCCTCTACCGACGTGCGTTAACACCACATACGGTACTTTTGTTTATACATACGAGTACTTACTTTGATATTTTAAGAAACCAATTGTTAAATATATTTAACTGTACATGTTATTTCATACTTTGGCAAAATCGTGTGTGTGGTGGAAATCTTAAATTGGTTCTGATTGTAAGACATATTTTCCGAAAATATATTAACCGAAATATACTTAATATGTTAATCGCTGCCCAATAAATAGGTTTGTTCCTCACGTATGGAAACGTATGGATCGTAAATGGTGCACCAGAAAGCTGATACCTACCATTGAATAAAACTGAAACATTAATGTATCAAGTAGTCATATATTTTCACGATATACCGCGATAAAGTGAACAAAATACATACAATAACAACTTCCTGGTGCACGATTAACGTTTCCATACGTTTCCATATCATCCTGTCTTTGTTAACATAAAAGGTCAGTTGTCAGTCTGTAAAATTTTCCGAGAGGATTCTGAATTATTTGCGAGGTTTTTGTGAATGATAAATGATGTCCTACCTCATAAGGCTAGATGCGACAGTTTTATGAAAAAAAGGCGGCAAATCTAAAAAGCCTGAATAGGTAGAAATATTTCATATCGTATTACTAAACTTAATATACTATAGGTTTGTCACAGAAATGGCAAAGAATATCAGATATCGTGGTACGTCTGTAGAAGATAACAAAGCACTTAATCTTATACTGCCAGATTTCGTTCTTTGTTTGAGAGATTTTAGTCTGAAATTAATGAAAGATAACAAGAAGATAACAGAGAATGATTATCTTGAGCTCAGACTAGCTGACAAAAAAGCAAAGCTGCACATTTCAACAAACCACGAGAATGCATACGAACATATTTTCCAAAGCGCATGTGTTTCGCATTTCCTGTGCCAGGTGATGGCGATGTTCTCGAAAATCTTGAAACTTTGAAATTTAGCGATTTGTCTGAGAGATTTAAAGACGTCACAACTCGTTTTGTATCGCACATTTACTGCGTACCGCCAAAGGAATTGCTTATAAGTAAACCAGTAAATGGACAAAGTAAGCTGATATATGCTAAATTATATTAAATCTTTCCAATCCAATGGAAACATATTTTTGCCCGATTCGCTTTTAATATGATTAGAACTTAAGTCTGTGATATACTACAGGTATGTTACATACATACATCAGAAAAAATGTAATTGCAGTTTCTACATTATTGGGTAACCCTTATTTATCAAAATTATTTATAATTTTCATCTGATATTATATATCCTGTTTACGTAAAAGAAGAAGCAAATACATATCTACATGTGCACAGTTTTAACACCAATTGTGGGATTGAGGCTTTCGGTCACTCTTTATAACAGGCGTTTTAATAGCGCGAGAAGACACCGGAAAAAACAAAATTTTGTGCCATATCAAAGACACCTCCCTCTAAAACAATATGTGTAAATATTCTCATGTACCACCTTTAACCAATAAAATGCCAATATATTAAGCTTTATATTAGTGAATTAAGTTCACAAGCTAATGTTATGTTTTACGTTTTTCAGTGTTTGTCACCTTGGCAGACCATTATGTTACGGCAATCAAACATGGTGCAATTCCAGATGTTGATGACGCCTTTTCAGCCGTAGCAAAAATTGAAAATGCTAAAATTCAAAAAGAGGCTGTCGAATTTTTTGAAAAGCAAATGCTAGAGATAGAGCTCCCGATCTCGTCTGATGTTTTGGGGCAAATATATACAAAATCGCAGCAGAAATCACTCGACTACCTACGAAAAAATGTTGTTCATGATAAGAATGGTAAATGTGAAAATGAAACGCAGGTAAGAGACTAATTATACTTAAATGTGTTTAGTAATACTATTTTCACTGAACAATTAATACATTATATATGGGGCATGACATATCTTGGCAAAAACATGTTTATTATCATTTTTGCAACTTAAGAATTATTTGTATCTTTTCAGATAAAAATGGATAATTTCTTTTATAAGATTAAAGAATCGAATGATGACAAAATCAAGAAAATGTGTGAAATAAAATTGCAAGAAGGGTATACAAAATACCTTGAAGAAAACATAAACAGCAAGCGATATGAAATTACAGGTGGATATAAAAACTTTAAACGAGATATTGATAGGTTAAAGCAAGAGTTTGACAGTGTTCATCGAGATTTCAAGGATTACGAGGTAAGAGTTATGGTATATTTTAGGAAATAATTGAAATTCAATGTACCTGTTCGTTTATAGATAAATTGTCTTTATTCTACAAAAAGAATGCTAGTTTGATTACATGTATTTTAATTGCAAAATAAATAATTATTATAAGGTATTAATTGAACAAGAAATATAAATAAAATTGAGGTGAGATATAACTAAAATTCAAGTAATTAAACGTAGCAAAACGTTTATCCTTAGGGTGGAAATTATTATTTAAATACTATCTTTAAAACGTTAAGCCATGATGAAGCACAAGGGTTATCTGGTGTGTCGTATTATATTTAATACAATGATGTGCAAGTATACTATATTTTTTCCATTTAAAACCAAATGCATCCAAAAAAGCTTTGTATCTTTGCACTGAGACGTTTTTTTATAAAATTAGAGGGAAAATTTAAGCTGGCGAACAGATTCTTCACATGTTTAAATGATAAAGGACTATCATAATTGTAAAATTAATAAGGGTCACAGTCTTACTTATTGAGTCATTTGCCCTTCAAATTATATTTTTGTAATTTTCGTATTTTTTATGCCATTTTCAAGAGCTGATAACTTAATACTAAGCCTTCTGAAATCTAACTATATTTCAAATTACTCTTTGTTATTAAATGTTCAATCATTATGCAATGTTTTAAACAATTCTATCAGACAAACATTATGCCTTTCCTCAAAGTATTAGAGCGATTTTTGTCACACTTATATATGTCTTGCATTTGGCAAAAGAAACTATGTAATACATAGTAAATAAAAAATGTCAGGGAATAACGTGATACACATGAATTCGAAAGTAATTGAATTAGGTGTTGCCTTCTGTCTTGAAATATCTATAACAAAAAGCATAAAGAAAGCAAATACCCACATTCGCATAAAAATGTTAGACCGTGATCCCTGATATCTTGTTTAAAATTATTTTCAAATTATGACTCTACATATAATTCATGCACAGTTATTCTTTTATACTGTTCTTTAAATTTTCATTCTGTGCATATGAGTCGGGTTTGAATTAAATATACATTTTTATCTCTTTTCATAAATTAAACAGATCATGTGGACATGGCATGGATTTGTACAAAGTATAAAGGAAACTGAAGCCTTAATAATCAAAGCTGATGAAGATCTGTCACAAAAAGAGAAAGAAGGTACAATACGAACTTTTGGTATATCATATGATAATTGGTTATATAGATATGGCAGTTTGCAATGTCTTTCCGCCGGAATTTGCCGAGTCTTTTAGAATTGATAATAATAGACATCAAGCTATAAAACTAATCATAGTATCAAGCTATTCTATCCAAGACGTTAATCATAGAGATCAACAAAAGAATGTATCAGACTAGTGTTTTTATCTTCATATAAAAACTCTTGAAAACAAATTATTTCCAAGCCAAACCAAAACAAACACATAAACTTTTATAGAGTGCTTAAGTTATGAACTTCAATGATTAAACTATAATAATTTTAAAATCTGAAGTATGATGATGATGAAAATAATAATGTAAAATTACTAAATTGGTACAGTCGGTGTATATTGACTTAAAACTGATGCCGATCTTAAGGATTAAACACAAAAATGAACATTCAGACTGTTCTGTTTAAGGCCAATTAAATTGCAACGATCACATGTATCGCCTGATCTTAGCCAATTAAGTTGTTGTATTTAGGGATGTTTGGACAGGCAAAAAGCCGTTAGTAATCGGATAAATAGAAGTTGTCCGGTCAAACTTAAAAAATCATTAAAAGGCTGTGACTCTAACGAAAATCATTGAGCTTAAAATTCAAACGATATGCAAACTTGGTACTGAACGTTCCTGTAAAGTCTGTATGAAACTGCACCAGTAGTATTTTTATGAGTATACCTGACAATGTTTGTGACGGAACGGCAGACGGACAGATTAACGACGGAGCAGATATATCTTTATTTCGCAGCTTCTTTAAACTAAGGCATCTCAAAAGCATATATGCTTTTTTATACATGGGTCATAACTCTGTCAAAAATTATTGAAACAAAAACCCGTTAAATAAGCGAAGTTTTGTTACGGACAGACAGACTGACAAACAGTCGAAAACGTCGAAGAACTGATTCTATATCGCCGCTATTTTATAGCTGGTGCCACAAAAAAGAATGTTTTGATATCATAATACCACTCTGTTAACATTTTGCTACCTTTGTGACATATCATTTCAGGTTCAGTGCTACTTTCTTCAGAATCATTGATGCTTAAAATCCGTAAATATATCAATATTAAACACATGATGTTTTTCTTCCTAAATGAGAAATAATATTCATTTTCGAAGAAAAAAAAGGGGTTTAATGTGTTGTGTTTGAAATATTGTTAGTATATTTCATGCTCAAGAGTGTGTTCATGTATATATTCTTAAGATGATAACCTCTTATTGGACATTAAAGGACTGTAAAATTGTCATTTCTTAATGAAAACCTGTACACAAAATTTGAATAAATTTAGCATACGGTTATCCTATGCCTTGCACAACAAAATTATAAGGGGTGTATACTGGAATGAGCTTGTCTGTCCAGCCGGGTCAAAGGTCAATGTCATAGGGGCCTTTAATTCTAAAAGCTTTTCTGCTCAATTGCTTAAGAATGCTTTGGTCAACAGTCTTTATATTTGGTATTGAGGTTGGATATGATAAGAAAATGACCCCTTTGATGTTGAGGTCACTAGGTCAAAGGTCAAAGGCAGAAGGGCATTGACAAAAGAAAGGTTGACCACCCAATAACTTAAGAGTCATTTGATCCACACTCTTAAAAAGTGTGTCGGTCTAATAACTTAAGAATAATCCTTTGACCTACAGTCCTCATATCGGCAAGGACGTTGTCTTTGAGCTCTTAATGACAGTTGATTTTGACAAAGCAGTATGCGGGGGTATTCATGCCATGACAGTGGCAGTTCAACTTTTCTTTAATGAATGACCACCCTAAAAGTACCATAAGGGACTGAAAAAATGTCTACACATGACATATATACTTTACGGGACACATTTATGGAAAATTTAAACACATTTTATCATATGAAAATCGAGTTATGACCACTTTTCTGAACTTAATCTTGGATGTAAGAATGGTCCTTTTTTAGAAATAAGAAACTAAAAATAATCTTCAATATCATCCGTATGAAACATGTTTTCACATGAATGAGCCTTATTTTAAAAAGCTCTAGAATTTATCAAAATGATTGCCTGTTTTCCCTTTGTATATTGTTTTATCTTGTTAAATATCAAGTTCTTTTACCGAGTTTGTTAAGATTTTATTACACTTTGAAAATATCAGGAACCATATTTGTTATTAGTTTTCGCATTATTCAGCCAATAAATACCTATGTAAATTAAATGATAAAATTAAATAATTTATTTTTCACAAAATGGATGCATAACGTTGAAATAAAGTTCTAGCCTATTTCAATACTCTATAAAGAGGAGGTAATGCACAAGGATGGTCATACCTTTATAACATATTTACATAAGGAAGTTAAATGCTATATGGGCTTTTTTCAGAAATAATCAAGTTCTAATCATCCCCCTTTTTCTATTATTGTTGTATAGGAACAAATGATATCTCGCAACTTTAATAAACACAAACCTAAATGATTCTTTCTACTTAAAAAAATTAAAATGTGTATAACTTAAAGATGTTGTCTTGCTCAACCCATTTGTTTAACAATTTTGCTGACAAGAGAATCTTTTCAAAATATCGCTTAATCAATTTAATTAAAAAAGCTGTTTTTGATTTTTGTCCAAAGTTCTTCAACAGGATATTGGTTGTAATTGTAAAATATTGTGTTTATATATCCTGTCGTTTTAATATGATTAGAATTTTGTTGATATATGTTTTCATTTTGAAAAATACAGTACGTATTTGCTTCCTAATTAAGTAGTATACAGGAAAATAATGTCTTATATAATATTTATATGAAACACATTTCTTTTTCTGAAAAAGATATAAGGTATTCATAAGTGATCTTCAAAGAAACATTAATGAAAGAACGTTGCCCTAATGTAGTTTGAACCTAAGACCCAGAGTTCACATGAAGTAGGAGGAGTATACTATCTTCTACTGTAAATATCTGAATTGTATGTATCTTTCTTCAGAGGAGCAAAAGCGAAACGAACAACGCTTTGACAAAATGTTAAAGAACCAGGAGAACATACAGGCGAAAGCACTAGAAAAACAAAAAAATGACATGCAGAGTCATTACAATCAACTCGAGAATAAACGAGATAAGCAACTCAAACAGGAAAGACAGAAATACCAGGATTTGATGGTAGCCAAATTGAATTTCGAAAAAGAAACAGCGCAAAGGGAAACTGAAAGATTTAGAAAAGAACAAGAACAAAAACAGATGGAAATGATGAAAGAGATGGAAAAAGAGAGACAACGACATGCACAACAGATTGCAATGTGTATGGACAGAATGAATGACAGAGATAGTTGTATATTATCTTAAGGAAAAAGTAGTTAATGACAGGCTGTCTTGTATTAGATATCCTGGATAATTTTTTGACTGATTCATTTAGAAGAGAGTATTGTTTGTTGTTTTCTTTTTCGTTTAAGAAGATCTATCGTATTGTTTTGAGTTTATTACTTCTTGCTAATTAAAAGGGGTCATGGTGGAATATGTTAATTTGTTAGGGATTATCTTAAACCTGGTATTGACATAGTAGAAACTGACAGTAACGGTATATCATGGATTGAATTAAGAAGGGAATTTTTTAACAATGAACATGATATGTTTTGTGCTTTTCGTAAATACCTCCGAGTAATTCAATTAATTATAATATGCATGATACTGTTTATTTGAAACTTTCCAAATTTGTGTAAGAAAATATGCAGATTACGGTAAAATATCGATTTTTGGTGATCTTAATGCATGATGTGGAAATAAATCCGGTGTATTAGATACAAGCAGTAATTTTGACTGCTATATTCATTGTATTGAAGACGGCGAAAATAATAGTTTTAGTTATACGTTACCCGAACGTAAGTCGTTAGATAACTGTGTTAATTCTTTGGGAAATAAACTTTTCAATTTATGTTTGAGTACTGATCTCAAAATAGTGATTGGGAGATTAGGTTATGACGGAAATTAAAATTTTTGTCTAATTTGGGCAAAAGCTTAATCGATCATGCTATTTTATCGCAAGAATTGTTTCCCTTTGTTAGTAATTTCACTGTACATGATTTGAATACATTTTCGCACCAGAAACCGATACAATTAGACTAAAAAATAAAAATAAATGTTTATAAAGAATCCATTGAAAATGAAGTTATGAATATTGATCTAATTGTGAACGATATTATAGCCAATAAAATTGAACGAAATAATGAAATTGAGAAAATGACTGAAGTATTGTACTGCAAAACATTTAACTTTTTTGGCGGGACAAAATGTATAAGAAATAATAGACGTAAAACTAATAGGTAATATGAAAGTGAGCGGTAAAATCAGGAGTTTGAGGATGCTAGAAGAGACTTTAAACATGCAAATAAATATTACCCCAAGCATAAAACTAACCAAAATATTGAAATACTTATTAATTAAAGGGGCATATATCGAATAGCAAAAAGACGAGCACGCACTTAATATATTCTAAACCAGAAAAAGAAAATGGCTTCTTTAGCTTCAATACAACCTCAGAAATTTTGGAAAGAAATCAAAAGGCTCCAAAAAAATGTGGTAAGAATGAAATATCATCAGATGAATTATATGAACACTTCAAAAATTTATATTCTAATGAGGAACTTTTCAAAAACGACTTTGTTGAGGAAAGAATAAATGATATTGATATGGATTCTACCAATATTGAAGAGTTGATGTTAAATTTACAAATGGGGGAATCTTTAAAAAACGGTAAGATTGCGGGGGTAGATTTACTTATACCCGAAATGTTTATACATTGTAAAAATATTTTAGCTCCTGTACTTTGTAAAGTGTTTAATCACATTTTTGATACAGACGAATACTCGGAATCTTGGTGCAAGGGAATCGTAGTTCCTGTGCCCCAAAAAAGGGATAATAATGATATGAACTATTATAGAGGAATCACTCTGATCAGTGTATTTTTAAAACTATTTTCAATTATGCTAGATTTTCGTTTACGTAAATGGGCTGAAGGGAATCATGTGTTGAACGATTTTCAATTTGGTTTAAGAAATAATAAAAGCACTACTGACTGTTATTATTTGTATTGAGTTCTATAATAGATAGGATAACAAAACATGAAAAGAAAAAAATGTTTGCTGAATTTATAAACTTTAAAAAAATGTTTTGACCTTTTGTATATAAATGGGATTTGGTATAAATTGATTGAAATGGGACTATCATTGAAATTTGTAAAAATGTTAGTAACGTAGTATGTATGCCTGTAAGTCATGTGTAAGAGCAAAATATAGATTGTCTGATTATTTGGATAGTTATATGGGTTTAAAACAAGGGGTGCCACTCTCATCCCTCTTATTCATATTTTTTCAATGATATGCACAGCGACTTGCATAATGATACTGTTGGCTCTTTCACATTAGACGACATATAAATATTTCTTTTATTATTTGCTGATGGCACAGTGTTATTTTCTTATTCTAAAGAAGGACTACAACATCTTCTAACCAAATTGTATAATTATTGTAAAAATTAGGGAATTGTTGTTAATGTACATAAAACTATTGCTATGACCATTGGTTCTTTTGTTTTCACGTACCAGAAGGACAGATGGATGGGCGTTCAAGGCTTACAATTCGTAGCTTACAAGTTTTACCATTTTCTTTATACTACACTGAACCTACTAAATATTACCCTGACTTAGTTAGTCTATAAAACTGAATGTGCAATGAGTTGTTATACACTAACAAGTAACTTACATCATTTGAAATATCTGCTAAATAATTAGACCAATACAATAAAAATTATTTTAAAACAATGTCCGCATATTGGTGTCTGAAATAAAATAAATGTATATCGTGGCAAAATTAAAATTTGAAATACTTGTTCTTACCTTCATTTGTCTTAAAATATATCAAAATTAAACATTACAAAATGGAATTAAAAATTCGATTTAAATATTCTTTGGACTTAGTGTGCTCATTTTCCTTGACATTTTGTATTTCTATGAGAACATTTCGTATGATCCTAAATAATTTCAAGCATGATGAAAATTCAACAGGAAATGTTATTATATTTGTAATTCTTATCTATAAATAATAATAGAAGGCACTGCAGAAAAAACCCAAATGTTTCTGAAAAGGTTCATGGTAATATCCTAGTAAGTGCATTCGATCTCAGTCTTTTATACGTGATGTCGTTGAATATTACATTGGGTGTTAATTATTATTACAGTCGAAATTGAATAAAAACAATTTACTACAAACCATAAAATTTCTATCCATTTTCTGAATAATTGGAATTTTTTTATTCAATACTTTGGTGTGTCAAGCGGGAGACAATACTTTACTTTCATTCAGTTTTATAACACGATCAAAACCTGAAGGAAATGCGCTGTAATTGATATGATATAACTCGAAAATAGGCAAAAGGAAATCGGCATTTCAAAATGAAAAGTCACTCCGGTCCTTATTAAAGCAAAATATGGTTAAGAAATGTTATTCTTCTTTATTAGTTTCTATATTGAATTCCCTTCAGTTCACATGATTGAGTAAGATTTTGCCAGTCTTATTGTATTTATTTTAATGATTTTGAAAATTCATGTTCAAATTTTGAGTTCATTTTATGCCAGTGCCTGTGGACATATATGATATCTTCCACTTGCTAGGACAGTCCATAAACATCCACAATCAAAAAATAGCTGCAGCATCTTTAATTTTGCGGTTTTAAGCCCTTGTATAGATGTTTATTTGCCTATTGTGACTATGTATTAATTTTTACATTTTTTTCAATATACAAAAAGACTTTTTGCAAATTCGTAATGGATATGTTAAAAACTATTATAGCTGTTTAATTGGGATAGTCATTTTTAAATGTCAAATAACTACATTGATTGCACGGTCGGTGCAGATATTATTATTTCATTTTCCTTTATTCCAAATTCTCAATGGATTGTTTATTGTCATGCAAAAAGAAATCGATTCAGGTTTACAGTCTGGTGCAGATAGTTCTGTCTAGTAATCAACTTTAAGCTTTATTATGTATCTGATTTTAATTCTTGAAAACTAATAACTTTACATCATTTCTTTAATTACTGGTTTCTTTTAAAAGGTTAATGAAACATTAACTAAGTTAACATTTTAGCTGAAAAATCAATTATGAAATTTAGTTTACTGAACGGGAATGTTAGTTAGCTTAAATACTTTTATAGAGAAATTAAATATGTTTTTTAAGGAATTGTCTTTAAATAAATGACATCAAAATAGATTGATGAGAGTAAATACTTTTGTTGTTCTGATTGTTTGCTGTTTCGTTTTCAAAATAAAACAGTCCTATGTGTTTGTGACCCTTACCCATTAATATCATTCTTATTTACCAAGACGATGCCTCAGAGAAAAATATATTAAATTTGGATGTAGGTTTACTGTTTTTTGTTTTTGTTTCTTTTGTTTTTTTTTATACCCCGCACAACAAAGTTGTAAGGGGGGTAAACTGGAATCAGCTTGTCCGTCCGGCTGTCCGTCGGTTTTTTCTTGTCCGCCCAATAACTTAAGATTCCTTTGACCCACAGTCTACATATTTGGCATTGAGGTTAGTCACGATTAGTAGATGACCCTTATTGATTTTGAGGTCACCAGGTGAAAGGTCAAGGTCACAGGGGCCTTGACTTTAAAATGCTTGTCCGCCCAATAACTTAAAATTCCTTTGACCCACAGTCTTCATATTTGCCATGGAGGCTAGTAATAATTAGTAGATGACCCCTATTGACTTTGAGGTCACCAGATCAAAGGTTAAGGTCACAGGGGCCTTGACTTCAAAAAGCTTGTCCGCCAAATAAATTAAGATTCCTTTGACCCATAGTCTTCATATTTGCCATGGAGGCTAGTCATGATTATAAGATTACCCCTATTGACCTTGAGGTGATCAGGCCAAAGGTCAAGGTCACAGGGGCCTTGACTTCAAAAAGTTTGTCCGCCAAATAACTTAAGATTCCTTTGACCCACAGTCTTCATATTTGGCATGGAGGTAAGTCATGATTAGTATATGACCCCTATTGACTTTGAGGTCACCAGGTCAAAGGTCAAGGTCACATTTGCCTTGACTTCAAAAATCTTGTCCGCCCTATAACTTAAGATTCTTTTGACCCACAGTCTTCATATTTGGCATGGAGGTTAGTCATGTAAGAAGATGATCTCTATTGATTTTGACGTCACCAGCTCAAAGGTCAAGGTCACAGGGGCCTTGACTACAAAAAGCTTGTCCGCCCCAATAACTTAAGATTCTTTGGCCCACAGTCTTCATATTTGGAATGGAGGTTAGTCATGATTAGTACATGACCCCTATTGATTTTGAGGTTACCAGGTCA